TGCCCTGACTTAGATCAGCCCAGAGGTTGTTTCAGGGTTGGATCTGTGAGTTAGCCGTAACCTGACTTAGATCAGCCCAGAGGTTGTTTCAGGGTTTGATCTGTGAGTTAGCCATGCCCTGACTTAGATCAGCCCAGAGGTCGTTTCAGTGTTCGATAAAATGTTTAGGATTCCATTTTATATAATAATCTTATATTCAGATATCTTGATAACAACATGCTGACCAATATCAGTGTTGGAATTTTCAACAATATCAGCACGCTGACGAATCTGTGAGTAAAGAATATGATTGTACTYTAGACCCCTAKTAAGCGTCCAACCTCTGTTTAACRACCGGTTGTCAAAGTCCCAAACAGGGTTTTTGCACTAATTTATACCTCTATCAAAGCGACCAACCTCTATTTAGCGACCACTTGTCAACGTTCCAAAGGTGACCGCTTAATAGAGGCTCTGCTGTACATTTAAAGCACAGACAGGTATTGAAAACTGATCCKGCCAGAGGATGTTATAACAACAATCAGATCRATCAGTTACTTACTTTGTCGTTTCTCTTATCCAGTGGTCTTTCAGGGAACAAGCTTAAAGTGATCAGAGCCGAACCTTTTGAAGGATTATCGTTGCTTCAAAGCATGTAAGCACCAATTTTTGTGTTGGATATATTTTTGTGTTAGACCAATATAGGTTGTGAAGGTTTTATAAAGGGTGTAGAAGGAATAGTTCCATTCAAAGCTCCCTGCGCCATCTTGAAAGGTAGCCGTGCTTTTGTATCGAAGCGAGACGAACGGAGAGCTTGCAGTGATAGAGACGTGAATAATTGAGGCTGAGGCAAATAGTTTTTTTAGTAAATACACAGGTGATTCTTTCAAAAAAGGAAAAAAAGAAGAAGATAAAAAACACATTTAAAATTAGGAAAAATGTAAAACAAATAGTATCAAATAAAAATGCCTTTGTTAGAATTACAAAATATTTGCAGTTTTCTYGAAGGAAACCAGATACACCACATCGAGAAAGATGCGTTCAAAGAATGTAAAGATCTTACCAGTCTGTAAGTACAAAATTGATCTTAATTTAACACAATAAAAGTACTGGGCCCAGTTGTTCAAAGCCTGATTAGTGCTAATCCTTGGTTAACTCTTAGTTAATCCTGGATTAGCGCTAATCCAGCTTTGAACAACCCGGCCCAGTTATATAAGGACAGTTTTTATTTTCGATTTTTTAATGCTTTATTATTATTCTAAATTACTTCACATTACATGGTATTACGATATGAGAAAACAGATAGAAAGTAAAGAAATGAGATATGAATAAACACACACACACGTAAAAAAAAAGAGCATTTCTTTTTCAAAACACTGAATTAAATTCATTTAAATACTCAAAGTCCGTTTTTTGACAGAAAATATTTTTGAAGTTTATCATATTTTCTAGCGTGAAGGTCCAACCGCCTTTTCTATTTAGCAATTATATGTTCTTTCCTTTCCATACGAGGACAGTTGATCAAGCATTACATAATGTTAGCCATGTTGGATGGCAGTCGTTTTGCATAAGAAAAAAAAAGTTGCCAAATTTTACTATGACGTCACAGGGGACAGAACAATATTAGCATTTGGAATAATTTTACTCAGCACCTGAATACTCCAGTTTCATTTTCTCTGTTGCTCAGGGTTAGCCTCGAATATTCACGTGTTCCAGTCAAGCTCCGTCAAGTTTCAAAGTGCTCATATTGTTGAAGTTGTGCATTCGTTACTTTAAAGTTGGTATTTATGAATATCTAGACACTGATTCGAGGCTAAGCCTGAGTATATGAGTCTGTAGTCAAGGAACACAGCAGTAATTTGGAACTCGAAAATGGTCTATTTATAGCTAGATCCCGGAATCAGAGTCGTGTTTTGCGCGCCTAGTAAAATCACCTTGTACTAAAGAGGTTTTGCACGATCACGCGATAGCAGSCATGGCTGGAGACAGGAACAATAGAATCTGGTCTAATCTGATTTACATGAGAAAATATTCAGTTTAAGGGAAAAAGACTATTGTTGTGACTCCTGTCATGGCTGCCATCACGTGGTAGTGCAAACCTCTATGAGCTTTTTTCTTGTGAACTTAACATCCGCAGATCACTGGGGAGAAACCGTTTGACAACTCTACCTGATGGATATCTATTGCAACTAAAGAACTTGAAAACCCTGTAAGAAAAACTCCATTCACGACGCTAGTGTAAGCAGACTTTAATAGGTTTTAATGGACGTCATATCCGTGACATTCCACAGACATGTTCCCTCGAAAACTTTTATGTTTTCCACTTTCAGAGTCATACAGAGTAATCAGTTCACAGATATTCCCGATTTTCCCGATTTCGATAAGAATCCCATCGAAAATATGTAAGTAAATACATGTGGGAAAAAATCAAAATTTTAAAGATAAATTTGGTGCAAGGTTATACACCGTTCTCGTAATGGCTGACAAGTGCACGAACATTTTGTTTTGACCTGAATTCGCGTTATCCACCTTTATTTTGTATGAGCAGCCTTGCTCAGCCTTGCAAGGTGACTGGGTGACCTTGTTTTCGTGCGCTGGTCAGCCATTTTCTTACATGGTGCCTTTGATGCCAGGTTCTTTGCTAACAACAAACTAAGGAGGGTGCCGCACCTAACATTTAAAAGAAGCTCTCTGCTGACCCTACTGTAAGCTCTCAAAATGAAATACTATCTAATACAAAAATAGTTTATTTAATTGGAGCACCATCTACATTTGAAACAAATAGGAATTTAGATACTCCCTCTCTCTCTCTCTCCCTCCCTCCCCCTGTCTACCTGCCTCCCATCCTCTCTCCCTCCCTCTTTCCCTCCCTCGCTCCCTCCCATTCTCTTTACTTTTCACCTTCTCTCCCTCCCTCTCTCCTATCCCCTCTTTTCCTCCCTCTCTCCCTCCCTCTCTCCCTCCCTC